TTGTTACGGGTCTAGGAAATTACCAGCAATTTTGTACTAGAAATTTCTTGTAAGCAGAATTAGCTACTAGTGAAATTATTTATAAACCATTATTTACTAGCCATCACCTACTACCGATTTGATACTTACAAGATATTTCATGGCTTAACGAAAACTGTTGATTGTGAAATTATAATTCTATTGAATTTATATTCAAAAACTAATAACCTTGCTCATCTGATATTATTAAGTAGCTTCAGCTACTTTATGTGAAGACTTAGTCTGTCTGTCTGTCTGTCTGTCTGTCTGTCCGTCTGTCTGTCAGCAGGATATCAGGAGAACGGATCGAGATAATCGAAATCGGTTTTCGCCATCATACATAGGACCCCAGGGGGAGGATCCTATCAACTTTTGGGGGCAACCGGACCACACCCCCTTTGGCGACAGGGGGTGTGGTCGGGGCAAAATGAGATTTTTAGTGCAATTTAATCTATAGGTGAATTAGAGTAAAATTATGTGTTCCGGAGTTGTGCCACACCCCCTAGGCGCCAGGGGTGTGGTTGGGGCAAAATGAGATTTTTATAAAAAATTAATCTATAGATGAAATAGAGTGAAATTAAGTGTTCCCGAGTTGTTCCACACCCCCTCGTCGCCAGGGGGTGTGGTCGGGGCAAAATGAGATTTTTACAAAAAATTAATCTATAGGTGAAATAGAGTGAAATTAAGTGTTCCCGAGTTGTGGTGGGACCGTTTGGGGTGAAGTACGTCTGAAGCTACTTCCGTATGCGCGTTTGCGACGGTTTATTTCTCTGAGGAAAAACAATTTCCACACTAATTATAGTACCAGTTTGAGAAGTATACTTAAATTATTGGCATTAATGCTAGAGTAAGCAATTTCGTATTTAAATCAAAATTCTACAACCAATGCACATATGTAGATCTCAATAAAATTTGTAAAGAAGAAACCGTGACTTTTTAATTAAATAGGTCCAGAATTTTAACGTCTTTTCCATTACTTTTTTAAAAATTGATCTTGAAGCAGCTTTAATGCTTGACGCGTTTCGCATAGGATCGGGTGGTTCCAAATACTTATCTTTGGATTATGTCAACAACTTATGGATTATTTAAATTATTTTTGTATGTCTACTTATCCTTTAGTACTTGTTAATTACAAAGATTCGAAAGAAAGATAAACCCCATGGTTCTCTCTACCAACCATTTAACTAATTATCATAATGTTCCCCAGATAATTTAGGCATGCGACAGGAATAAACTTGGAATAAGTACTACGGTAAAACTACGGAACGGACCCGATTAGGGATTCATTCATACACCAGAGAAATCGTTAGTTTAAGATTGTCGCTTAAAAATAAATTATAAGAGCTTTATACGTCATACTAGTCGCGCCATATGTAAAGATTAGCTAAAAATTGTATTTCTGAAATTACCCTTAGGTTAAAGAAAATAATTCCCAAATTCCCTATGAAATAAATTTCCGGACTAGTGGGAGTTTTGAGAATTTCAAAATTCCCAAACGGTACAACCCCAGTGCCGAAATTGCGAAATGTGTCGAGATATGCGAGATATCTCAAAAGTTCGAATATACTGAGGGTTAGTCTAGATTATAGAACGTGTAGCAATTTTCCCATATACGTTAAACAATGGCGCCAATTCCAAATATTCGAAACTTTTCTGGAAGCTCGGTTAAAGCTGCACCGTGACCAAAAAGCTCAATTGTGAAATTTTAAAGATGGGTCCAAAAATTGACCCCAAAGAGCTCCATGCCGTTAAAATAGTTTGCCAACCAATAATGACGTACAAAACAATACTAAACCAACTCCAGAATGAAAAAATTGTCATTTCTAATGGCCCAATGTCTAAAATAAAGGATTCAGTTGAAAAAAGGAACCAGGCAAGAAATTTGATGGTGCCACACTCGTCTAACGCATGCCCCCCGAACTGTAAGAAACCCGACGCTCGTAAGAAAAATTGATGTGGACAAGGCAATAATTTTTTTCTCAATTCAAAATCAACTAGATAGCAATGAAGTGTCAGGTCCCTGGGCGTACACTGAACTGAATTATTCACCAAGATATGCACAACAACTTCAGCGAGGATCAGAAGATATGAGGTCGACGCGAAACTTTTTCTCTGACAACGCTCGGATTACCGCCCAGTTCGCAGCCATTCTATTTTTAATATTCGGAATTTAAATTATTTTGCATAGAGATAAACTAGTTACGTCCGGTTATGTGCCTTCAGTGCTTTAATTCTGATTTGAAACTTCAGATCGACACTTTTTTCAAATTGACATAAAATTTTTTTTATGCATTTTGCAAACTTTTGGATGAACAGTGGTTCAAAGAAAATCTGCTGCCGGCTTTAAAAGACTGGATTTTTGGAAATGATAACTTCATTCCTCATGAGAAAAGGATTAGGAATACGATGAAATTATTCAAAATATCAAAGAACGAATATTTCGCCCAAAAATTAATAGTTTTCGACACGTTCTATAATCTTGCCTAACCCTCAGTACAACCTTTTAAATCCAAAGACACCCCATAAAAGGACCCATAATGGAACTTCATTTTTAACCATCATTAATTCAATAAGTTCAACCAATTGATTCCTGTTTGTCTGTGCCAGTGAGTTTATCGTAGTATTTAACCTTAACCATGTTGTCCCCGTGTTTTATAAACTTTCCAATGTTGTCCATACACTCCGTAAATCCAGTGTTGCCAAGTTTTTTTATGTGGGGACAACATTAGGTCGTCAAATTTTAAATGACCTAATTTAACGTCGGGACAACGGCGGTCATCAGGTCATCAAATTAGAATCGCCCCTACTTCCGAAGCTCTTCCCACAAATTGAACATTTATATTTTATAGGCTTTTTCCTTCGTGTGGGTAGAAACGTGTCGGAGGAGATGGATTCTTTGCTTAAATTCCTTGTGACAAAGAGGACACAGAAATCGGACCGGATTTTCGGCATGTTCCCTGGAAAAGTGTATTGCAGTTCGAAATCGATTCGAAAATCATATCGAAATTCTCGTCCAGAAATGTTTTGCCACATGCCTCAAATTTACACGGGTATCGTGGTCGTTTCGTCGTGGAGTGAAAACTGGTCGTGTGTCGGGAAAGGTGGGATTTCCTGCTAAGATCTTTGCAACAAATTGCGCAGATTTGTTTCAGTTTATTGGTGTGCATTTGCTGGATGTGGAATTTTAAGGTGAAACGGTGCTTTAATGTTTTCTGGCAAATGGGGAAAACAATAGAACTTGTTCTTTATCGGTTTCACTAGTGAGAATATTTTAGATTAAATTATTGTTCACCCACGTCGCATTTAACTGGAGTATTTTCGCCATGTGTGACCACGTGGCGTTTTAGACAGCTCTTCGTTTTGAAACGTTTTGAGCAGTGGGAACAACACTCTTTGTTTTGGCTAGATTCCATTTTTAAAGGCCAAACAAATTTATAAATTATGATTCTTATCTTACTTAAATCATTAGGACAGGAAATTCCAATTTATGAATTGTTTTCCTAACTTTAAATTAGCGAGAAAAACGAAACTTTAACTTTTTGTCTACACGGAATTGAGTGGTTAGATTGATGAGTCATTCCAAAATTTTAAGATGGATGAAATATTGATTTGTTGAGAATACAACTAAATAAATATTGTTGAAAAAAGTGATTAGAATGAGGATGACGAAGGTTGAGATTATTTAGTGTAATCTTCCACACAACAGACTTGTCACAAGACTGACACCAACGAATCAGGTAGTAAAAGGTACAGGAAAGGTTCGTCTGGACCCCATAATCTGGGCTGGCTCCACGAGCTTTTACAACATTCAGTCAAGCATTTGAGAGGAAACAGACCCCTTATATATATAATCTTACGGAAAATGTTCTTGGGTTTGGTTTAAGGCGGAATAGCATGCTGGCTGATGCGGGTAAAATCGGTAATTTTTAGGCTTACATAGTTAGGAGATAAAAATTTTGATTTTTTTCTTCAACAAGAAGATAAATATAAAATAGATGAAAAATAATCAATAAAATTTAAATATTTCCTCATTGAAGAAAAAAATCAAAATTTTTATCTCCTAACTATGTGAGCCTAAATATTACCGATTTTTAGGTGCATTAATATCTTCATATTGTTAAAAACGAAAGGCGGTGAACATTTTTCAAAATCGCCATTTGAATACATGGAGGAAGGGAAAGTTGAGACACAACAATTCAAACAAAAAACCACGTGATACAATGCCACGTTAATGTATTTCTACAAAACAAGTATGGATCCGTTTACCAGCTCAATATTTAATAACCTATGAAAAAATTATTTGTGTCAATGCTTATGAGCAGAAGGCGGATATATGTACCCATGTTTCGCATGGTATGTATATTATGTATATGAATTGGATAAAAATAGCGACAAATTCGTAGAAAGAAGGAATGTCGAAATGCTATCAGTTTGTAAGGGTTAGCTTGCTTTAGTATAATGTATAAGACGTTTGGTTAGGTAAAAATTTAATTTAAGGCGGCCACTTTATTCTTAGGTGAGGCTATGGTTACGCCAAAAAAAACACCAAAGTAATCACTCTGTCACGGTCTCAAAAGTGACCACACTTTCGTAATTCCTTAACCAATTTGGATGAAAAAAGTACACAGAATCATTTATGATGGAGTAAAATCCGATTTCGGATTTTGATAGTGTATGTAGTTTTACACCGAATTTCTAATGTCGAAGACAAAGCGTAAAATCTCGCTTTAAACCAAACCATGTCAACTCATTGTATGTATGCATATTTACATTCTGGTCGTATGTACATACATGGACATATGACCCCTGCCATGCTTTGAATATCGTGAGCGTTACTTCATCACTCGTACATAATCCCAAATATGTACATATGACAAAGATATGGAAGGGATCGATACATCCAGCTGCCTTCCGGTTGCATTTAGAAATATGTATGTACACCCCAGCTGTGGAATCGGACCCTTTTCATCCACTTTTAACGGCTGCTCCATGAATAAATTATAACAATTCAGCCAGTCGTTTCCCTGCCACGAGGAAAGAGAGGAACAACAAGGTTACAAAATGTATTTGAACAAACTGAAAAATTTGCACTAAGTGTGGATCTCAAGCAGGTAAATTATTAGAGAAATGCATAATTTATATAGTTCCGAATAGGGTTTTACATTGTCAACTTGTCATGACATTTTGACATGTCATAAATGTCAGACATTTATTTTTATTGACAATTATGACATTTATGAAAATTTGACAAATTCGAAAATGTCAACTTTTCTGTCAACTTGTCATTGACAATTATGACATTTTCATTTTTTATTCTATTTCCCCCAACTAAAAAGTCAACGTAGGCGATATATTTTGTTTCTCAGCTACACATCTTTCCTCATATAATTTTTTACTACGAACGACACTGAAAATATTAAATATATTGATAACTTTTGCTCTTAAAATTACAACTTATTCCGTTTGTCTCTGATCATCAACTTGGAGCATTTATTTGGAAGAGTTGGCAGACATGTTACTTCCAATTATATTGACCCTGAGTTTGTCTTTTCCGATAACACAAAATGTTTTTCGTTGAACATGAGAAATATTTATGAAGCTTGGACCACTGGTAGTCTACGGAGTTTAGTAAGGTCATATATTCATTTACTCCATACATAATTCATCCAGCAATAAGTGGCAGCCAGCTCGGTGCATATTTTCCAAAAGTTTCTAATTACGACCAACTTGGTAGAGTTAACTGCAACTAATTGAGATTTTTGAAGAAACAGTTTTGAAGAAATAAGGTGCAATTTTAGAAAAATCTAGAGCATAAAAATATCCCGTTTTATGATGAAAATCGACCATATAAAAAAAGGAATAGAGCAGAAATAGCGTGCTATCTTAATAAAACGCGGTGGATTCACATCGTAGATCAATACCGCTCATATTTTTTTATCACCCAATTTTTAAGAGTGTAGTAAAATTTTGTAAAATTTATAACCAAATTTATAAAAAAAATTTATAACGTCAAATCCAGGTTGTCACTCACAATCTTGTGAATGTGTAATTTCGATTCGATTTCCAATTTCGCAACTTATGTACTACTTCACTTTGGTGAAAGAATAACGTCTGCTTATCGTACTTTTGTTAAAACAGTTTGCTTAGAACATAAAAAATAAACCGTAGTAACGTTAGAAGTAGCTCGCCCTGAGACATAATTTCAAGATAACTTCGCACCGAAGGCGCAAAACAATCGAACAAATTAGATACATAATTTTGACACAATTTTGCACCAATGGTGCACAACAATTGCCGCAAATACATATATGCATCATATTTATGTATTTATATAATTTGGCACCAATGGTGAAAACTAAGCGGACACAATAGACCCATAAATTTGACATAATTTTGACTTTTTCTTTCCCTTGCGTGGGAACGTATTCCTACCGGTTATTCTGCACTTTTGGTGCGTATTGCATCAATTCCCCCAATTTCTTGGCACCATTTTGTGTCGTCGCTTATTCGGGACGAATGGAGCCATTAATATCCTAAAAAATGGACATGGTCCTATTTAATTAGCATCAATTGATGCAAAAAACTCATTAACAGACAGACGGACAGGAGGGACAAACCGTAGTAACGTTAGAAGTAGCTCACCCTGTAATAATAATTCGGTTATAACTTGCCCCAAAGGTGAAGAAAAATGCAACAAAATAGATACATAATTTTTATGCAATGTTGCACCAATGGTGCAGACAAATTAAACAAAGTAGATCAATAATTATTATGCATCGAGAAGTGTCCAAAAATTGTGCATCACTGGTGCAGAATTACCTACCAACGATCAAAGATAATTTTGAAAAATTTTTGTCAAAATTGTATGATCATTTCTCCCGGATATTCTACATTATTGGTGCGTTTTGCGTCCCTGCCTCCAATTATTTCGCACCATTTTGTGTTCCCGATTGTTAGATATCAATGGTCCTATTAACTTGTTAAAAAATTTGATTCGGTTTGTTTAGTACCAATGGTGCGCCTAACGTATCCAATAATGGTCAAGGGGCTGTTTAATTAGCATCAATTGATGCAAAAAGGTCGTTAACAGACAGACGGACAGACAGACGGACAAGAGGAGTTCAATAGCTCTCATGCTACGCAGGGCGAGCTAATAACTCGTAACCATGGTTCCTTAACCTAAAAAATTAATTTTTAATTTCCACAGGTGGAAGAAGTTTTCTTAGGAATGGAAGGTTTGGATAAATATTTTTTCCCCATTTGAATTTTTATGGTACAAAGAAATTTTAGAAAATTTCACAAGTTCGTTACCATTCAATTACCTTCCAACCTTAAATATTTATTTATTCCTAACCTTAACTTTGATTAGCTTGCTAATAAAATTTGATGCTAAAATTAGACGGGGAGGAGAGCCGCCACGCTACCGGGGAAGAACAGCAAGGCAAAATTAACCCACCTGCGCATCTTACTGATCAAGTTGCTCCTAAAGTAGACACGTTGTTAACGGTCCTACAGGTCAGTTATCATTAAAGCTCGGCGGATATCGGGTGAAAACCTCTAACTATCCGAGTATGTATACATATCCAAGCCAAATTCTTGCCGTCCAACCTCCTACTTCCAATATCCATGATATCCGCCGAGCTCTGGTTCCCATATATTTGGGGTGGGGGACCGTCCATAAATTACGTAACGCTTAAATTGCGATTTCCTAGACCTCCCCCCCCCTTTACCATGTGTAACATAGGTACGATATCATTATAGCCTTAGACCACCCCATCCCCCCTTTCGCGTAACGTACTTTATGGACAGTCCCCAGGCCAAGATCTATGCGATAATAATTAATTGTCTCTTATCTATCTTATCTCTTAATCTATTTCAGCGGCGCCCAATTATGTGGCAAGGTTTGTTAGGTTAGAAAAAATTAAAATCTTATGATAATTTTATCTAATTCTTCATTTTTAAAGAGCGGAATTACTAATTGCGCAGCCGTAAAGAACAACACTGCCGCGAGTCAAATGCACTATTTAACCGGCGACCAGGACCTTGCTCGAGAAGCGTTGGCTCCAAATCCTGACGGGACAATTCCCCCGTTAAAAATTTCGCAGCGGATGCGACTGTAGGAAGCACACTTGATGGAAGTCGCAGCAAAAATGCAGGTATGTATTTAGAGCGACGATAGCTCGCAATAAAATTGGCCGTGGTCAATGGTCCGTCGAATCAACATGGTCCATGGGACCAAGGGACATTGCGAGCTATGGTTACCTGGTAACTCTATCCACATAAATAGTTTCCCCACTAATAATGGAAAATTTTTTCAAGCTCTAGCGAGTTATATCAAAAAATCAAGCTAAAAATTAGGAGTCACGGGACGCTTATCCTTCCATTGAATTGCACATTTGAGGAAAAATATTTGAGGTCAAAGTTCACACGAGTGGCTTGGTGTTCGCCCCGTGGAGGTAAAAACTACAACAAAGTTGCCTAAAAATTCAACTTTGCCGCGAATACTTTTATTAGGGGAAAGATAAGCCTCACGTGACTCGTAATTTTTTACTAAATTTTTTTGACATAACTCGCTAGTCGATCCCGGTGTAGCTTGAAAAAAGGTTCCATTGTATATATACATGGTTTACAGATGCCACGCGAACATTGCGTCCTTTTAGCGTTGCCATGTGGTCGTGACCGGGAGGATGTTCTCCGACAGAGCAACCACCTCAGACGTGAATTTATTACCTACTTTCAATTAAAGGAAGCGGCTGGAATTGCAAATATTCCTTGTCCACTAACCGGAGTAACAAAATTCGTTATTCACCTGATCCCAGCTGATTGCGGTTTCGTATTTGAGTATTTGAGAGCAAAGGCTCCCGACCTACTTCAAGTTCTGAAAGAAATTCCGTATCTAATGGTTGTTATTGCAAGTGTTTAAGAGTATACAATACTCAAAATTTGAATGAATACTGAATGAATATTTTGTTCGGATTTTTGAATAAATGAATATTGAGTACCTATTCAATTCGTGTGAATGAATAATGAATGAATATTTTTTTCATCATTCATTTTTAACTTAATGCTTAATATATAGGGAAAGGTGAGAAGTTCATCTAATGCTGTGAACTTTGAATAACATGAATAATAAAGGAATGGTAAATATTGAATAAACGTTGAACAATTAAGGAATATTTTCTTCTACAAATAAGGAATGCATTTTTTTTCAAGGCCTTCAATGAATGAACTTTGAATGAATAAATATTTTTTGAACATTTAAGAGGAGCCCCAAACAGTTTAGGGCAAAATATGCCCTTATTTTTCAGTAGTTATATAAATACCTATGATCCACGATTTACCGTTTATAAATAATTTATAAGTGTTGGTTCAAATTTAAAATAAAGGTCGTCACTATCTATTATCAAATCTTTTCCCTGATTGGTGGAGCTAGAAAGCCGGCAACCAATCAGAATGCAGGAATGTGACGGAAAATTTCACGGGACGGATTTGTCGAAATTATAATATAGATAAATTAATGACCAAGTTGCTTTAACTTTCAAGGCTTAATTCCAACACCTAGTTTCGTAAGATACTGATAAGTAGTGCGTTGCTTAGAAGACCGGAAAACAATTAATATATCTACATATTCAGTCTTACCAAGTCTAATATTTTGCTGAAAAGTTTACATACATTGAGTACGTCCAATGTAGATAATTGCTGAAAATTAAATTAAATTTCCTTAAATTTTGTAGAAATTGTCAGTTTGAGTGATGGCCCGAAGGAGAATTCAATCTTTTGGCAAAGGAGTAATGAAACCAGTCTTCCATTAATCAGGTACGGAGAACGTATCAAAGGAATGATTGATTATTTATTTCCGTAAGCCAAGGAACATTGGAGTCGTTCGACTTTTTTGTGATTGCACAAGGATTCGTCCAGGAATATTGTTTTTTAAATATTTAATCTAGTTAATAACTTGTTGAGTTGATTTTTAGTGCCAATAAATGCGCTGTGTTCACTAGGAATTAGAGCTATCTGTAATAATAGGCATTAAATTTGATGATGTTGGCATTTCGGCTTGTATACTGCAGGTCTAACGGAATGAATAAACATTCAATAATTTAAATTATTTTGAGTAAGCTTGGCATGACAATTTCACAAGATAATGCTCGAATTTTGGATAATTTTTATAATATGTTTATATAAAACTTCCAATCAGCTATTCCATAATATACTTTACTATGTCCTTCATCTCAGATAACTTTGTTATCGCGAAAGTAATTTTAGATAAGTATAAATAGCTACAGAATTTCTTATCAGATTGTTTCCACCACAGTTAGACCTTAATCAGATATTTATTTTTTCGTTAACAAGCAATTTTTTAATCATATTAATATGTATCTCTATTTTAGTTTAACTTTAAGGAAGTTGATACACTCTTAGAAATGGGGTTATGCATGATTCTAACTAAAAGTAAACATATATGACTCTACCGCCGTGGTTATGAATTTGTCACCTACTGGTAATAAATTTATTACGTCTGGTAAAAAATTATTACCAAGCCGGCGAAACTTTATAATTAGTCGTTGACAATTGTAACTACTCGATGACAAATTTATAACCACGGCGGTAGATTAATACATACACGTTTCCACTTTGGTTATAATGGTAACCCCATTTTTAAGAGTGTATTGATATTCTTTAATTTATTGCAACTTTTATGGCCATAAGGACATAAAGTTTTTACATACATAAACCGATGATAGATACATAAGTACGTAAAAATTGGCTTTAAGAAAGTTATTTTCTACCAATAAATCAAATCACATCAATCTTACAAGGGATGCTACCAAGGTGTAGGCCATTGAAGTTGGCATATTTTCGGATAGATATAGTCCGTCTAAACCCAGAAAAATAGCCGACTAGGCTAGTTTGTGCTATCAACTCTACAATCAGCTAACAGGAATGGGAATTACTTGAGTAACACTTAAACACAAAATGTGCATAAATGCCCAAAATTCACTTTTTATTAACTATTTAGTGAGGACAAACTTGGCAAAAGTTGTTGAAAAATCTGAAACATTCCCACCTTCGAGGTCGATTATGTTCCCGGAGCTATAACTTTGAAAAGGGCAGAATCCACAAAAAACCACACCCACAGTTATGGCGTGGCTCTTCAATTTTTTATAGGTTCGACCTTGGTCCCAAAGACCCCGGAATATGCAACATTTTCATTAAAAATGCCCTCGTAGAATTATTTCCGAACATCTTGGATTATTTCGCTCTGTGAATCGCCAAAAAATATAGTCACAAATTGACGAAAACAGATTTTTACGCGGAAATTCCTCCACATTACGTAAAAAGGAATGTACTGTGAACATCTTGGAATAGGTGGGTACTCTGGACCCGGCTGACACCTCACATGTTTCCCTTGTTACTTAATGTCTAACTATAAACCTAGAAAATTCTAGTTGTACTGTTGACAATCAGAGTAGAAGTCCATTACTTGTGTTATTTGCTCAATGTTTGCCGATAAATCCAGACTTGTTCCCCACAGTAACTAAATTCCATATCATGCAATGTTTCCCTACAGAATTTGTAAATAGCTGCAATTAATTAAAATAACTTATCCCACAATGTGTAACAATCCCGTTCGGAAAGTTTATAAAAATATCAAATTTCGGGAACTCGCTACAATTCGACATTCACCTGAAGAGCACTTGATTTCACCCGGATTATGGGAAATTCTTCAAACCTACGTCGCCCTATACCGACACATGCTCCCATTCAGATTTTCCGTGCAGGAAAGGAAACTATACCTGAAAAAATGTTCCCCACTAAAGATAACATTTCTAAAATGCTCCTCCCTTCTCCTCCTTCCTTTCACCCTCACCAACTTTGTCCTACTCTTCGACAAACTTTATTTTAATCGGGTTGATCAAGCAGCTGATCATCCACACGCTGTGAGAACTCTGGCCATGTTTTATATTACTTTTCTCCTCCCCGCATTCACGCCTACCGGTCTCACCATATCGTTCCGAGCAGGATCAGTTTGCCATGTTCTAAATCAAATTGGCGAATTTCATACGAGGATAAAAGGTAAATAATGTGAAGGTTCCCATTCCCATGGATGACGCGTTATTGCGAAATCTCACTTTGCCCCTACCCAATGTCTTCAAATGCAATTTCTAAAATTGAATCAGCTCCACGAGTATTGAGATAAATTCAACTTTTGATATTTTAATCTAAAGCTAATTTTTGGTACTACAGACAACTCGATTTGAAAAAAATGAAATATAAAAAAATAAAAGATGCCATTATCGTAATTTGTAGCTTAATTTTTTAAGTCAATAATCTCGAGGGTCGGTGGTCGCGAAAGTTTATATGGATTATTTTCTTCCGCGTTCAAATCAGCTTCTGACACAGCCACTGACCCTCAAGATTTTAGGCTTAAAAAATAAAGCTAAAAATTACTATGGTTTCATCTTAAAGAATGAAGTCTCTATGTCTGCCCATTCAAAAGTTATTAACGCTAATAACAGCAATACATATATATTTATTTGCAAAATTTATGTATGCCATCTTTATCCTCAGGTTTGGGAAAAATTCTTTACCAACTCGGCCACAATAAAATCGTCGAGTCAGGTTTGCAAAAGTTTATACAATTTTCCCCCACATTCACACTTCTGAGTTCAATCGGCGTATTGTTGAACATAGAGCCGCTTCATGTGCTCGGTCAAGCCTTGGTTTTCCCAGGGTCGAATTACATTTTAACTCTGCTCCGACTTTGTTTATATCTGGGGATCATTGTCGAGTTCGAGAAATCAATGTGCGGCTTTGCCACCGTCGCAATTATCGGACTGGCGGCACATACGGAAATAATTCGTCGTCTAAGGAGAGCTTTGGAAAGCTGGGGAAATTCCGCGACACGAGTGTTGCACATGTAAGAGTTGCAACTATGGAATCGTTCCTGTAACCAAACCCTCTGCTATTCTGCAATTCCACCGCTAGTATTTTTGGGGATGTGTACCTTGATTTTTGCTAACTACGTAACCATCAGATTTTCGGGTAGGCTACCTCTGTACCTCTATTGTTTGGCTCCTGCGACTAGTCTAATCGGGCTTGTCGCGCTGAGAACGGTACTACCGGAGGCAGCCATGGTGTGGGAATCGTCGCTAAGTTTTCTGAAATTCTGTAAAGGAAAATGTGCAACCCAGTACGAAGTAAGGCTGCTGAGATCATCGGCGGCAGTGGGAATAGCTATTGGTTCTTTGGGTATGCCACGAAGGATTGGAAGACAGATATCTGATGGAACATTATCAACTATACGATAAGTGTGTTGTTGATGTAGGCGGGTATTACACTCTTAGCAACTTGGTAACAAAACCCGGAATTTCGTTAACACCAACCGTCGGTGTCAACTTCAATTCCATTAAATGGTGTCAAGATATTGTGCAAAAATAACACCGAGGAAGAAAAATGCTTTGACACCCTACCGGTATCAGCGATATTCCTGCAATGGTGTCGAATTGACACGATGCGATGTTACCGCAGACAGCAAGACTTGGAATTCACACCAAATTGTGTCAGTTGGTCTCTTCCTTGTGCACGAGTCTGCTTGGCGGCCATTTTCCTTCCTCCTCCACGAAAAAGTCAACAAAACGGACAAATTAATTGGTGTGTTCAATTAATTTCGAGAGAAAAAATGGTTTTTAATAAGTTTAAGGACTACAAAGTACTTCCAATTTTTTGACTCAGGTACGTTGATATATGTAACACATATTAATTTGCCCTCATTTAATTGCAATTATTTTACTGTGTGCATTTTTATTTTTGAAAAACTTATTGTTTCCAGTACAGCTGAAATTCGGCGTTGGACCCAACGAGGGAGCCAAAATTGACGAATATGGATTTGTCGACCTGGCAACCTATTTAATTATCTATTACTAAATTTCTTGTTGCAAAGTTAATTGAACTTAAAGATTTACTCATATTCTAGATCATCACCGTGTTAAATACATATAAGCTTTTTCTGTAAAAGTGCATAAGGTATGAAAAAAAATATTTAATTTGTGCGAGTGTAATAATTTGTTACTTATGAATATGTTTGAAATACTTGTTTAATTTATTAAATGCTTAATATTATTGAATGTAAAATAAAACAGTTGTTATTAAAAATTGTAGTTCAGTTGTTACAATCCGGGGACAATTTGTCACCAGGTGGTGACATTCATATATTAAAATGAACATATATTGTTACCTAGCAGTGTCGAATCAACATAACTGAGCACAACCTCTTTTCCATTCGCTGTGTTGGCATTGTAACAACAGTATGTTGGGTTGACACCGCAGCGGTGTGGAACATAATTAACACCGTGTCAATTTGACACCAAACCGGTAGAGTCATATATAGACACCGGCATGGTGTCAATTCGGTGTCGATTTTTCTGTGAGTGTACGTTTAAATATTACATAATTTTAATTTAACTCAGCATTACATTACATACATACTATAGCTGTCTCATCGTAATTTACTCAAGTTTCCCGCGCTCCACCACCTGTTCGGGAACAGATTCGAACAGTACTTTCGTGTCAATTGTTTACTAACATCTATGAGAATATAGTGTAAAATTTTCAGAATTTTCAGATTAACCGTGCCCAAGAAAATACCACTTGAGTATGTAGGAAGGTCGCGTTTTTAAAGTTTCCAAACTCCCTTCCTAATAAAATCCCGTCGCCGGATCAGACTTTCTTTAAGGAATTCAAAACCGAAAAAAAACATCTAACTTATATCTACGGCTCAACTGGCATTCCTGCACTTGGCATAATTTTTTATTTCGTGTGTCCTCCTTATTTTGGCTGCAAAATCGGTCATTTTATAGGACATATATGAGGTGACCGTGTCATGATGAATTTCAATTTTGTGATGAACATTACCATAAATAGGTGGGAGATGAATGTTCGCAAATGCCTCTAAAACTTTGCTGACATATCCGCCTTAGTTTGCAACGACCTTTTTTGGAACTTGCAACAAGCGCATGACCCCACGACTCGATATTGTCCCCATCACCATGTGCTTGTTCAAAAAGTTGTCCTTCTGTCTGACCTGTCCAAATTTCGCAATTTCGTTTGTCTCTCTTTGTACAAGAAACTCGTACTTTTTCGCTAAAGTTTTATACATGAATCATCCCTTCATCCAAACCAGCAATAAATTCCGACTTTTGACCTACTACATATTTTTTACAAATTGTTTTAAAAATTCCTTTCCCCATTTAATTAACGTTGAGGCTGCCTACTGATGGGGATTTCCAAGCATGTGATCGTGCAGAATGTTAATTTCCAACACAATTAACATTGTGTGCTATTGTTGTTTGCTTTATGGCGATTTTTTCCGGAAAAAAATAAATTCTGATTCAGTGGGAGGAGTATTTAAGGCCGGAAACCGCGAAAACAGACCTACTTATTCAAGTGGCATTTTCTTTGGCATGGTTAGTCTGACAATTCTGAAAAATTTACACAATATTCTCATAGATGTTAACAAACAATTGACACAACAGTATTGTTCAAATTTGTTCCCGACCAGGTGGTGGAGCGCGGGAAACTTGAGTAAATTACGATGAGACAGCTTTTGTATTTTGTTCACTTAATTACCTACTCCCACGACGATGCCTTCACCCCTCGTATCGTTCCAGATTTCGGGTGCCCCAATTTTGCTTACGCCCCATTGAACGGTTGCAGTGTTTTTTGTCGCAGACTTTAGCTTCGTGTCAGGGATTTGTACTTTGTGTTGAAGCCGAATCATAAAATCACCTTAGCTGAGGCTAACCTGGACAATTTTTCTGGCGTTAAATCCTTCACCAAGATAACGTTCGAAATCCAGTATTGTTCCGTTGTTAGGTTGAAAGATTTCGCAACAGCGACTAAACGTGATTGAATTGCGGATGTCCTCGTTTTCATTGAGTTGACCATGTTGGCAACTTTGGCTTCTCGGTTCATGGCGTCAAGTGAAGAAATGGAGTCTATAATTTCTGGAAATTCTTCAGTTTCTCCATTGTTCTCGACAGCTTCTAATAGTGACGGGTCGATCTTCCCGGCGGTAATTGCCGTTACCAGAAAGACGATTTGGTAGATTATGGTTGAAGTCATTTTGGTGTGTTTTACAGAATGTTGAAACTTTTGGTATGATAAAATTTGACGGGTCAGCAAGGATTTATATTAGGTTTGCTTGATCGGTGTACGTGCCGGAATCTGTCAATTTTTTCTGATGTATTTTATTTAAATGATATGGGAACCGCATAATTTCGTTGTTATGAAAATATAGGTCATAACTGAGTAAATATGTACTGTCATTTAACTATCATAACTGAATCACCATCACAATAAATAAACCGTTGCGTAAATTCTACAATTTTCGACTTTGGCGTCGTCTACACGGTCACACGGTCATCGCACGTCGAAATGATGGCGATTTCTGAAATCCCCATCCAAGAATACGTCTAAAACGGTGGAAACGAAAAATTCGACACGTTTGACCGTTGGCGTCATCACCGTGGCGCCGTGACCTTACGACCTACAACACCCATCTTCGAACTCATCCCTTCCCCAAAAATTAGAAACACGTTGGCGAAAACCGGATGCCCAAATTCGATTCCGTTCTAAAGTTATCGTGGATACGGACGGACGAACGGACGGACGGACAGACAGACCGACAGACTGACAAGACATTTCCATAAAGGGGTTTTCACCCCTTAATAAAGTGCGGCAAAGCACGATACCTAAGTAGCGCAAAAACTTCGAGAATGCGCCAAAAAATAAAGCTAATAATTTACCGAGTCATATTTAATAATGTCAAAATATGAATTAAAAAAGATAAAATAATTATAATTTTCTCTTTTCTACCGACCCAGTAGATAAAAAATAACTAAATTAGGCCATGGCGACAAAATTTGTCGAAAACAAGGTCGTGACCTTAGTCGCCATATTGCGACATGTCGACAACACCGAAAAACACGTTCTGTCCAAATTTCATGCATTTCGGATAAAAAATGACTAAATTAGGCCATGGCGACGTTTTTCGACATGATGTCGACAAGTTGTCCACGCCCCCGAAATAGGGTGTCATACTATCGCCATGAAGAACATGTGTTCAAAATTTCAGGTCGCTGCGACAAACCGTTTTCTAGCTATCGTGTTGACGGACAGACAGACTAACAAAGCGATCGCATTAAGTAGCTTGCGCTACTTATGATAATAACCGGTGTTATGACACAATATGCAAAACGAGACGAAAGAAGGCACACATTGTCCAAATATGATCAAAATACAAAAATTGTGCTTTCTGTCACGTAGGAAGAGACAAAATTAATACAATTGAATTCATAACTATGTAATACAAAAAAAATAAACAGTTTATGCCGATTCGCAAATATTTATTTAAATAAAAAACTAATATATTTCCATCATAATAAAATATTCGGATAAACAGTTTTAGATTTTAAACATCCATTTGTTTCCAATTCTGCGAAAACATGCGAACGTGTCTAGAATCAGATACAAATTCTGTATAAAATCTGCTCCTGTTGATCTAGTAGAAATCATTCTATCAAGAAATACACAACATTCTAGAACAACCTAATAATTAAAAATGCAACCAAAAATATTTTTCATTGTTACAGTCTCCACTACAATAATATCTACAATACTTCAAACTTGTGATGCCCAAGGGGTATCCCAATATCTTCTACAATACATTGACGACGATCAATGCACGCCGGGAAACCACTCCGTAAATATTATTGACCCTTCATCTGACCAGGAACAAAAACTGATTGCACCGGAATTCGGGCAATATGTCTATTTCAAAGCGATGGGCTTGTAAGTTTTTTAATAAAATATTTCGATTTTAATCTGATTATCAAGAAATCTATAAACCTGCTCTAATCGAACGAGAACAACATATTAAATTACGTGTCAATATCTAACAATGCGACTGTGTGAAGTGTAACCCTCCGATTTGGTTGAAATTGTGAAATTATGTGGTCCATGTCAATACAAGCAACGTTTCTTCAGGCAGTTTGTGCGATGGTCAGAATTTGCTAAATATTTGAGGTCAAAGTTGAAAAACGGGCGACTTTTACTAGGCGGAGGAAGCAAACTCAACTTCCATTCTCTTCCCGTGCTAAAATTTGCGCATTTTTCAATTTTAACCTCAAATATTTTGACAAATTCCAACCATCGCACAAACTTCCTCAAGAAATGTTGGTTGCATTGACATGGACCACATAATTTCAAAATTTCAACCAAATCGGAGGGTTACACTTCACACCATCGCATTGTAAGTGACAAATAAATTAAGGGTTATGTATACTTTATTAATAAAATTTCTTAAATTGCATAAATTTGCAACTACATATTTTAATTATTCAATTTTCGTAATAAAAAAATAACTTATCATCATATAAATAGGTTAACTTTAAAATTTTTCTTTAGTTGGAAAATATTCCAATATACCAGTTACGATTATCCCTTCTACGTTTACGTGGATGGCAATGGGGAGGAGTGTCAATATATGTGGCAAACTTACAATCACCACTGGACCGCGACTCGTCTGGGAGATCCGCTTCAGATCAAGAGGGAAATTCAAATATTTAAGGATACAAATTTTGACAGCACAACATACAAATTTCAAAGATCAACGTCATCAATACTGCCCCCGATGAACGTTAAGTCGTTTTTCTTTAGTGGGAATTATTCCTGGGGATTATTTTCTGAGAAGAATTATAAAGGAGTAAGTAATTGTTTTAGGTCAAATACAGCGGGAAAAGAGTGGGGATTTACGATTTATCCCGATGTGAATATGACGGTGGGAAGCATTTTGGAAGGGTGTTAGTTTAAGTAATATGTAAATTTACAAAAGTATTTATCTTTATGTTATTTAATTCGGTTATAGGTTAATAAATAAATAAACTTTTAAAAAAATTTAAAAGTCCTATATAGAAATTAAATTGGTAAAATGTGCGAGTGAGGATAATAAGGAGTGAGGAATTGGATGAGACTCACTTTAAACTGTAGAATCCGGATTTAAGGGCCAATGGTCAACGTTTCGAACCTTCGTTCTTCTTCAGGACCAGAGGGAGAAATTTTTAGTGACTGCTCACGGGAAGAACCAATGTGAGTGTGAAGGAATAGGGATAGGAAGGATTGAAAGGAAGACTGCCAGACCACGTGGGCGTAGCACCAGAACACACCATTCTGAGCTGCGTCTCACAAATTTGATGCTCTACGAGGTGTGTTCTGGTGCACAAATCAGGGTGCTACCGCCACCTATGTGCTTTCATCATCATTTTTTAACGCCAGGAGATGTGGTGATGATGATGATGCGGAGGTGCCATCCCCCAGGTGGGCCAAATGTACACCGAGTTACTTGGTTGGCTCTCCCCGTTCTTCCATAAGCGGCACTCGAATACATAAGATCGATTCTTCTGGTAGAATCTATATTCTGTGATTGAAAACCAGATGAGTTAATCTGATATCTAATGACGTTAAAGGATTATTTTCATTTTCATTTTCATTTATCTAACTAGAATATGTATATTGATTGTCATACTTAAGTTATACATCAGTTTTACGTGTAAAAATTTTTATCAATTAGTTAGAAATGCAATTATTTCGTATTAAAGATTGCTTTGTATTTATATTTGTTATGTATATATTTGTATGTAGCCATCAATATTAGCCAGCGGCGTAGCCAAGGGGGGGCTAGGGGGGCTTGAGCCCCTCCCCCAGAGCCCAAGAAAATAAAAAAATACTTAAAAAATTATTAGTATTTTTAAAATTTAAAATTCTGAATGAGCAATGTTGTAGTAATCAACAACGCAAATTATACCTGCGAAATAATCATCATCAAAATTGAGATTGACATTGGATTGAAGAAAGCAACTATCTGGGAGTGTAATGGTGAAAGAAATTTCAAAATCCGAGCAAAATTGGATTTTTGGCGTGGATTTGAGTGAGTGAAAACTGGAGTGAAAGCGGTTTTTGGGCATTTTTGAGTGGGTGTGGCGGGCGCAAACGTGGCTATGGAGTCAAACCACTTCAGGGTTTTAGTACACTCATAGGACCCTACCACATATCCAAAGGGCATCAGGATCTGTTATTATCAACCTCACAAGCTCCCCTCCTAAATAAATCACGCTACTACCAATACGTATGTACTAAATTTGGTGTGTGATATGTAAACACCAAATGGGTTTCTCCGACTTTAAATGAATTTTAAATTGTTAACGCACAAAAATTAAAATTTCTACAGTTTTGCATTTTCGTGGATCAACGTATTTGCCCTTGTAACGATATTTTTAACCACAATCAGAATCATTAAAAATTCTAGAACTTTTTCAATTTTAAACTAGTTTCAGAAATTAAAGAACATTTTTTGTATTTTTCAAACTTCCAAAGTAGCATGAAAATTTCAAATTTTAAAAGTTTCTAGTAAAGCATTTTTTGTATCTGCAATTGGGTTAAAATTGGAAAAGTTACAGGCATTTGAAAAACCAAGACTTCGGTTAAAAACTTGGGCAAAGCGGAAGCTACGCGCAGCCAAGAAAATTCAAAAAGACTTATTTATGCATGCGAACTGTTTAAAATGTGTCCGGTCAAAATCGGAGAAAACCATTTCAGGTCTCCTCATTGTAAGCTCACGGTTTTTATGACCATTTATTCTTAGTTTTTGATTTCTATGCTATTTTACGATACCAAGGATGCGAAGACAAATCTGGATACCGGTTTTGAATGTGAGGCGTGTGTATTTAATTCGTCGTTTAATTTTTCATTCAAATGTTCGAGACTTTTTTAGTCAAAAATACTTTAAGCTTCGTACCCAAGGTTTCTACTTGCTATGGTTAATCTAACAAAACCGCAGCATTTTCTTGGTTCGAGGTTATGTGGCGCATGATGCAATGCTTATAAGCATTGGAACTTTGATTGTCAGCCATTCATGCAATTCTCCATGGATTTTCAAAATTAAACATGTTTTGGAAACATCTGACCCTTCCCTACAATATATAATTTCAAATATTTAAAATTTGACCTACGTGACCTGAAATCAAGGTCACAAGGTCAAAAAATGAGAATATTTGAAGTCCTTAAAAATGCAAATTCGCAAATTTGATTCGAAATTTAAAAGTCAGGCAACTCAGGGGAGTGGCAAAACATTACCCTCCGGTCATTCTAAAAATTGTGGGTGTGGCAGGGGGCGTGGGAAAATTGAATCAGGTTTAATTTATTAGAGTTTTAACACCTGGGACCGGAAATATCAGTATCAGTATCCAATCAGGGTCACCCCCCTCAGCAATGGTTACATTATCACATTAAAATCTTCAATCCCCACCCACAGGGGGTGTGCCCATCAACGTTTTTGTGGTTAATCAACTTAAGTACATTGCGCGACACAAATAATTTATTGTAACGGAATGGCGACCCCAATGGTCACCTGATATCGCAAAAAAATACACCGAGGTTAAAATCTTGAATCCCCACCCACAGGGGGTGTGGTTATCAGCGGTTTTGCTATCTTTCAGAGAAAGCATGTCGTGTGACATATCGTTTTGACCAGAAACATGAGGGCAACTTAAAAATAGAATTGAAGTTACCAAAACCACACCCCCAGGTGGGTGTGGCTTGTAGCGCTTTTGCCATCTTGTCGAGAAAGCATGTCGTGTGACATATCGTTTTGACCAGAAACATGAGGGTAACTTAAAAATAGTATCGATGCTACCAAAACCACACCCCTGGTGGGTTTGGCCTTCAGTGCTTTTGCCATCTTTTCGAGAAAGCATGTCGTGTGACATATCGTTTTGGCCAGAAACATGAGGGCAACTTAAAAAATAGTATCGATGTTACCCAAACCACACCCCCTGGTGGGTGTGGCCTTCTGTGCTTTTGCCATCTTTTCGAGAAAGCATGTCGTGTGACATATCGTTTTGACCAGAAACATGAGGGCAACTTAAAAATAGTATCGATGCTACCAAAACCACACCCCCTGGTGGGTGTGGCCTTCAGTGCTTTTGCCATCTTTTCGAGAAAGCATGTCGTGTGACATATCGTTTTGACCAGAAACATGAGAACAACTTAATCATAGAATCGAATTTACCTAAACCACACCCCCAGGTGGGTGTGGCTTTCAACGCTTTTGGTAGCAACTAATAACATAGGTCATGTGATACGAATAATTTATCGGAATGGAATGGGGACCTCGATGATTACCTCCTATCGCATACAAACCACACCCCCAGGTGGGTGTGGTTTGTACATATACAATCACTCAAAAAATCATTGGAAAAATCAAGTTTAGACATGCCATAATTTAAAAAAATTACAAATTGAACAACCTTCCACGATTTTACAATTAAAACAATTTGGGTGAATAGTTATTGTAGAAATTCGTGTTAAGTGGAAAATTGATATTAATTTCCCAACGTTTTGATAAATTTCGGTAATAGTCGTCAGCTTATATATTTATATATAAGCTTATAATATATTTATATACTAAGAATAATATTACTATTTAGAAATTTAACTTAAATCATATGTTTAAACCGGCAGAGGTAAATCTCGCCGATTGCATGCCGGTAGTACTTAACTCGCCGCCGAAAAACCGTGCAAAATAGGCACCGCAGACAACTCACTCCGGGTTAACCTCTTGAGCGGATCCCATTAAAATTTACTTTCAAAAATTTGCTTTCAAGTTAACACTATCAATTACTACTGAAGTTGAACGATCTGCGAAATGTTATTCAGAAACGCGACGTGTAGCATCGAAACTTGGGCCGCGACGCGAAATGTTTGTTTAAATGCGCCCCGCCCACAAAAGCATGCAAATTTACGCCCAATTATGGGTGTGGTTATTAGGAATTGGATGTGATCCTTTACAGTATAGGCGGGAAGTCTTTCCACCCTCATAATTTTTTCACTTAAAGTCTTATATTTCTCGAGAAGCTTGAGGAAATGAACTACAATTTTGCACAATTACTTATCATGATGCAAGGTTTTCGGAACCATACTTTGGATAACGGCGTGGCACAGGAAACGACAGGGTGAAATTATATGCAAAATTCCGACTGGAAAAAAGTCTTTCTACCTTTTGACATTTTCGTTGTTTTTGTGTAATTCTTAAAAACATTCTTGAAAATTGTTCTCCACCCAGTACGGGATATATCATTCTTTAAAAAACAACGCTTGTATCATGTTCAAATTATTGATTGTGATCAATATAAGCTCATAATGAGAGGAAATCGCCTTGTCACAGATCTTGGGCAAGACGTCGTAAAATTTCGTGAGGAGGGGTTTCGATACCAAACGATTTACAATAAACTACTCGTGAAGAAGTACATAGTTGGCAGAATAGTCCAAAAATACAAAAAGATTTGTACGGCGACGAAATTTCTAGCTTATGGACCGCCAAGCATTACGGCCCCAAGGATCGATCACGCCATCCTCTCCTCAATTCAGCTAAACCCTCGGCGGCAGCACCAAAAACTAACTGGAAACGAAGGAAGACTACGACCTTCAAATTTCTGTGCGAACTGTAAAGAATTAAGTAGAATAAGTTGGATTTGAAGACCCAGCAGTGCGGAAAAAACTTTTATTTCCTAGGCCCATATGACCAAGGTTATGAAATTGGCTAAAAAGTATCGAAATTGATACATTCAAGACTGGAAATGTACAACATGGAGCGACTAGACCAAGACCAACTTGTTTGGTTCAGATCGGGTCACTCGGATAAGGAGATGCCCAGGAGATACAGACAAAACTAAGTACCATAAATAAACCATTAAGCATGGGGGTGGAAACCGAAACGTATGGGCGTGAATGTCGTAGAAGGGCATCAGAAATTTTGAGATAATCAAAGGAAGCATGGACCCCAACTGCGGTTGCGACATTAGGGGTTCGAATTTGATGGTGACGCGAGAAATAACCGCGTGGTGACAATTTTATTTCAAACAGAATGGTGAATTTAAGCATAGATCAAAGTTTTTGAGAAGTAGATTTACGACAAACGAGATTTAGTTGTTGGATTGTACTCTAATATCACCGGACGGAATGTTAATTAACATTTGTTGTCAATTATGAAGCCTAAGATTTCGTAGCAAAAACTGTCAAACCCGAGTGAACTGGGCGAAGTCGTTAAATTTGAATTGGAGAATTTAGACACCTTATACACAATTTTAATTTTTGTGTTGATGCCTAGAGGTGTTATTGCCTTCCTAGAGGACCTGGGTGAACATTCAAATGATAATTTGACTATTACATAACAAACAAAAATTTAAAATGAATGTTGCATTAAACTTAAGTC